ATCAAACTCAAATAGGAACACAAGCTGCTAATTCATACATTAAGGATCCCTGCTATCTGAATATTGACTTAGTTTTAAAATAAAATATCTATGTTTTACTGTATTTTTATATATTCTGTTAAATATTTCCCAATTACATTTTAATCTTGTTTAGGCAGCATTTGGGAGTGTTAGGGACTGTGTGTTTGATACCACACATGGTTGGGATTTAATAAATGTTTGCTGAATGGAATTCTAAGCTCTCTGCTTATTGAGTCCTGTAACTTTCTTTCCCTTTTACACATTTTTTCACATGTTCAATCTAAATCTGGGGTCCAAAATAGTTCAGAAGATTATGAATTAAGATTTAATTAAAGTAACACCATGAGAAAATCATGCTATGTAGCCCCAAAGTAACATGATGATTTGTTTATATTTATACATTCATTTTTTAAAAAATAAGTTTTTATTGCTCTTTTTTGACCTCACTACATTTTTCTCCAGTATCCCTCTCCTGCCCCACTAGGAGAATATTAAAAAAGAAAAGAAAAAGAGGGAAAAATCAGCATAACTGATTACATCAAAAAAGTTTGAAAATACGTATATGAATTTTAAGAATTGTCTTAAGATTGAATAGGATTAGCAATAACTTCTAGCGTTTATTTATTTTTTATTTAGAAAATGGATGCTAAAACTACTCTCATTTATTTGAAGATACCTTGCTCTGCTAAGCCTCCCAGCTTCTATCCTTCTAAGCTTAAACTCCCCTGTATCCAGATCTATTTAATATTTCTGCTTATAGTGCAAGGTTTTACTCAATTAGCAATGTTTATTGAATACTCACTATATACTGAACACTTATGTTAATTGTTCTGGTCAAATCCATCTTATATACCACGGTTAGGTTAATCTTCCTAAAACACTGCCTTGACCATGCCATGCTCTCGCTTAATCATTTTTTAATCATTCCCTGTTGTTTATATGGGGATAAAGTTCACATTCCTCAGTCTGGCATGCAAGGACCTTAACAATCTGGTTCGAACCTACCTTTCCAGTTATATCTCACTCCATGACCCTACACGAATCCTCTATTCTAGAGTCTTATAGTGTACTCACTGTTCCCTGGAAACGCTTCTTGCTTTCCATTCTTTGTATATACCATTCCCCCTCCCTGGAATGCCCTTACTGCCACCTATCATAATTACATCCATCCTTAAAGGCCAAGCTTAAATAACGTCATCCATAAAATCACCTGTGATTCACCCAACTTGAAGTGATCCCTTCTTTGTTTGGCCTTGAATACAAATGACTTTAAAGAAAAATAAATGATTCTTAAAAAACAAATCATACCATTATGATTTCCATAAATCTTCCATTTTCTCCAAAATGGTCTCCATGTAGTCATGAGGATATGGCATCTAAACCATGTGTCCTACTTAGGGTCTCAAGGAAACTCCCGCAGAAGAATTTCTAAGCCATAATGAAGTGGTTGTAACGATTACATAATTTCCCAGAAGGACTTCTTGGGATGTTGCAACACTCTTGTGGATGTGATAGCTATTTCTTATAGATTCCAGACATGCTGCTCACCTCACTCCCAGGTCAATTCATTTTTCAGACTGTTTCACCTCCTTGTCAGAAGCCTTCTTTGGTAGTCATTTTAGCTTGATAGAACCTATCAGCTGCCATATGCTTCAAGAACTCAGGCTCAACTACCTACTACCTTGAGGCATCAGAATAAGGTGTTAGGACTGAATACTTTTTAATACCATAGATAACTGAGAGTTCGCTGTATATAATTTCACTAGGTGGCAACCAGCTTTTTTCTACTATGATTTTGCAGCATATTCACAATTATTACAACTTTATGGGGACCTCATTAAAATATTGGCCTCTAAGTTCTAACCATAAGAGCACTTCTTCAGTAAAACTTCCTTTTAAAATGATCCTTTTATCATTTCACTGTCAATTCCTTTAGATGAAGTCTAGGTCAGACCCAAATTTTATTAAAATTCCCTCTATTAATAGACTTTGTTCTATTGAAATACTTGTGTATTTACTTATTGGATTTAGAGTATCAAGAGGTCAAGAAGATGTTTTTCACAGTTCCCCTTAATGTAAATTGTCTGTGCCCTACTTATACAACTGGTTAATGAAGCTATATTCTTTCATCATTGGTGACAAGTTGAGTTAAGCAAATACTTTTTACCAGCAGGATAATAATACATTCTTAAAACATTCATTAAACACTCTGGCAGCAGTAAATTAGTACACTTAATTGTCTTTACCAAAAATATGCTATCAACTGCAGATGAAAATCATGATTTAGAACAGCAACATCTTAAACAGCATTTATTCATTTTAAATTATCATCATTTGTGTAGAAAATTATTTTGGAGCTTCTAAAACATATCCCAATATAGAACGGTGTCTCTTAGGTGACAAGTACAACTTGATTTTATTCAACAAATATTTATTAAACAGCTACTATGTGAGAATACTGAGGTTCTGAAGGAGATACAAAGTTTATATATAATATGGTTCTATCTTCTCATGGAGTTTACAGTCTAATAGGGAAGGAGCATATATAGATTATGTACAAATAATTACAGTAAAAATAAAGAAGTATATTAGAGAGGTGAAACTAAAGTATTATGCCCAGGGAAGAAAAAGCCATTATCAGCTTGGGGAGGGATTCAATTCCAATGGTTTCCTATTCCCAGTAGAATAAAATAATAAACTCCTTTGTTTAGCTTTTCCAAGCACCACACAACATGGCTCCAACATATCTTTTTATTCTCACTGGACATTATTCCCTGCTCTTCATCCATGTTCCTCATCCATCTCCATCTCTGTCTTTGCATTGGCCATCCCCCAAGCCTGGAATGGTCTTCCTCCTTAACACTACTTTATAGAGTGTCTTCTTTTCTTTTACAATGCAGCTAAAGTACTATCTTCTATATGAAGCCTTTTCTGAGCTCCCTTTCAAACCACCTCATATTTAACTATTTTTATATTTATGCTGTCTATTTGTATATAATGTACTTGCTTTATCAACCATTATGCCAGAATGTTAAGTTCCTTGTTAGTAGGAATAGTTCTATTCTCCACCCTTGTGTCTCTAGTGTCTGGCACAGAGCCTGGCACATAGTAGGTGCTTAATGAATACTTCGTTGCACAATTATAGGAAAAGTAAAGTGTCATATGCTGTAAAAGAGGTCAAGGAGGTTAAGACTGAAAAAAAAGACATGATTTAGGTTGGGCGATTTAGACATCATTGATTATCTTGGGGAGGGCAGTTTCTAGAATAATGGAAGTGTGATAAATCAGTCTATACCATATTAAATAGAGAGTGGGCATTGAGAAAGTGGAGGCACCAGGTACAGATAACTTTAAGAACTTTGACCATAAAAGGTAAGGTAGCTAGATGGTAAAGAGAAGTCAAGGGCAGGACATTTTCTTTCTTTCTTTCTTTTTTTTTTTTTTACAAGAGTAGGGAGACCTGAATGTGTTTTTAAGCCAACAAAGATCAGGGGAAAGGAAGGCAGTGAATACTTTTTCATTGAAGGGATGATTGTGAGAGCAAGGCTCTAGAAGAAGAAGGAGGAGGGGATGAAATCAAGGATTCATTGAAGAGATTAGTCTAGTATATCTATATCTATATCTATATGTATATTTATCTATAGTTATCTAGATGTATGTATGTATGTGTATATAGATATAGATATATGGAGGTGGAGAGAGAGAGAGAGAATCAGTAAGGATATGGATATTCTAAAATATGAGGATCAAAGGAATTTCTGTAATATAACTCTGATCTTCTCAGTAAATTAAGATGTGAAGTGATTTGCCAGAAATATGTAGAGGTTTGGGAGTGCATAGGAATAAAGGAGCAGTTTGAGTTTTGAGGAAAGAGAAAAAGGTGTGGAACAGTCACTCTAGGGAATAAACTAAGTACTCAATATGTGTACAGGATGGTCACTTGATGAGGTTATATACCATAATTTTCTAGAGCATAAAATCAACTGGATTTCTCCATATCTTCCAGCAATGCTTAGCATCCCAGAAATAGGAGCAAGAATTGAGGATTATCAGGTCAAGAATGGTAAAAGGGTCTATGGAATAAAAGAATCATTAGTGGTAGTGAATAATTCACTCAGACCTTATGACCAAGGTTGAGTAGTAAAGTGTAATTGCAATGGTGAAGGAAGTCTTAGATAATAGAAGAGGGGTCAAAGCCTACCTATGAGACCTTGGACAGGTAATTTAACCTCCATGGACCTCAGTTTCCTCATCTATAACATGAGAGATTTGGAATAAATTACCTCTCATGTTTCTTCCAGCTCCAAATCTGTGAGCTCATGTTAAAGAATAGGCTAAGTTTTTATAGCGGCAAAGAGGTAGAAATGAAGATGTTCATCTATTGGGAAATAGCTAAATTACAGCATATGAATGTAGTGGAATAGAATAGTATTATATTGCAAGAAATGATGAGGGGGATGTTTTGGAGAAATCTGGGAACACTTGTATGAGCTGATGCACTGTGAAGTGGCAGAACCATAAGAACAACATAATATAGTAACAACAACATTAAAGAAAAACAATTTTGACAGACTCTGATCAATAAATTGATCGATCAATAAACATCGACTAAGTGCCTATGTTCTAGGCACTGTACTAAATTCTGAGGATAGAAATACAAAAAAGGCAGTCCCTGTTCTCAATAGAGTTTATGATCTGATGGAGGAAGACAACACACAAAAGGAAACTAAAAAGGGAAAGAGAAGGTACCTGGTATGGGGGCAGGATGGAGTCAAAAGGAGTGAAGCTGGTGGGGAATGAGCAACCACAGCTCCAAAGAACCAATGAAGAAACCTGGTACCCACCTCCTGACAAAAAAGGAGATGCAGAACTTGACATAAAATTTTTGGACCTGAACAACGTGAGAATTTGTTTTGTTTAACTATGCATATTTGTTAACAGGGCCTTTTTTTCCCTTTTCTTTTTCTCAATGGGAGAAGGAAGAAAGGAAGAGAGATTGAGATAAGATTTGTGTCTGCAAAAATATTTTTAAAAGAGAACAGAAGACTGAACAGAATCAAAGATAAGCAGAACAGCTTTGAAAGTTACATGATGAATTTATTACATACATAAAAAGAAAAGTAAGTGCTTTGTGATGGAGATTCAGTTTCATGTACAATTCTCTCCTTCTGTTCTACAATCTATACGGAAATGTTTATTTTATTTGGTGCTAAGTTCAGAAAAAATTAATTAAATTAAGTTTTAGAAAAGAGCAGGAGTAAAGGTGTGAGAGGTAGAAGGATAGTAAATCATATTTAAAAATTGGAATTTCCAAGTCTGTTGTCTTAGGAGTGATGTAATTTCTTTTTACAAGACAGTCAAGTCTAAGGTATAAATGTGGTCCCATGAAGGACAAGTCCAAGAGAAGAAGAGGAAATTTGAATTACTTAATGTGGGTACTAGAGATATAACTGTCATCTCCCAGGATGAAGATAAGAAATGCATAAAAAAAGAAGGATGTAAGCTTACTGCTAAGTTAAGATAATGACTTGGAAGTTGAGAAATGAAGGCAAAACAGATGCCTTCAATGGAGTGGAAAGGAGAGAAAATTAATTTAATTTTTAAAAAAATAGAGATGGATGAGGCTACAGATGTAAAATGTTATCTGTACTTTTAGTTTAGATCACCACGTTATTAATTTTACTTAACCGTTTTTATTATTTTGTTATAGGAGACCTCATGAAGTGAGAGTAACCTGTAAATGTTTTTAATGTAAAAAACAAAACATATAAATAAAACTAAAACCAAACCAAACCATAGAATTTGGGTGAAGGTAGTACAGATTTCATGGACTTCTATAAATCTCTAGGTTAAACAGATGAAAATCAGAATATTTAATTTTTCCAAGTATACTAAATTGAGACTTGGAGGGTAAGGGGAAGGTCTTATGATACTGAACCCATGAGGAATGGAAGGATCTATGAACTCAGATGGATTAGAACTTCTTGGAGGCTGGTGACCCACATTATTCATCTAAGAAATGATGCGGATGCTTAAATACCTAGGGTCAAAACAGAAATGCTCATAATGATACTGCTGTTCAATCTGACTTTGTAATCCTCACTTTTTGTGGCTAGAACTTCACTCATGATTTTATAATAATTCTTCATATCACTTACAATTTAACTATGACTTACATGGAAAATAATTCCATAGATTTTATTGTTTAGCTTTTGGAATCTTAATTCTATGCTTTTAACACCTCCCTTTCTACTCCATAGTCAGGTACACATTAGGGGCATTCCCTAGATATTTACCAAATAATTAAAAATATAACACCTTTGTGTACATAATAATAGCTAGAATTCATCTAGCCTTTAAGACTTGCAAAGCTCTTTCTATGTATTATCTTATTTGATCCTCACAATAACCCTGTGAAGTAGGTGCTATTATTACCTCCTTACCCCCATTTTACAGATGAGGAAACAAGGCTAAGAGAAACAAAGTAATTTTCCAAGGTTCATACAGCTGATAAGTGCCTAAGGAAGGATTTAAACCTAAGTTTTCCTGACTCCACATTTCAGAACTCTAGTCACTGTGCCACTTGGATGTCATCTCAATTTTTTTCAGAAAATATATCTTGTATGTACCTTTTAAAAAAATGTTATTTCCCCATTAGAGTAGAAGCTTCTTGAAGATAGGACTATTTTTTTCCATTTTATTAAAAAAAAACAACTTAGTACTTAAGACACTGCCTCATACATGGTAAATATTTAACTAAATGTTTGTTGGCTTGCTGACTAATTTTAAAGAGAGTTTATATGACTTCCTCATAGTTATAAAATATGTGTCCAAAGTAGGATCTGAACCCAGGTATTCTTGACTCCAAGTCCAAGATTTTATTTATCTACTTTACTAGGCTATATTTCTTAACATACATATATATAAGCAGAAAAAGATCATGTGTCAGACTATTTCTATGTAGTGCTGACAGGTTTAACATATTTTTTTCCTCTGACCAACAATTATGAATAGATAAATGGATTGGAATCAAATCACCTGTCCCCATTTCCACAGTTTACAAAGAAGCTTTTGGTAACATTATGTCAATTAAATTCACAAAGATGTGTGCAATTTAAAAAGGCAGTCCTGATGATGCTGAAAGAGAAAGTTTCCTTGTAAATACCTTCAAGAAGATATTTAAATCTAGCTTTGATTATTAGATGAATACCCTATATGACAAAGATTTGGCAGGCTAGTCATGCTTCTCCAACTGCTACTTTCTGGTCTTGTGGTGACCATACCTGTTTCTCAAGAGTTTATTATTTTTTTTTCTTTTTGAAGACTAATGTCAAAGAAAAACTGTTTAGGTTGATTTTGTTTTGGAAAAACTAAAGAAATCAACAGGGTAATAAACTTCTTCAGGGACGCTGGGGCTAATGGACAACTTAACATATCTCAGGAAATACAACTGGCTTCCATGTTCCTCTGCTATCTCTCAATCTCCTCAACTAAATGACCCTTGCATTCTCTCTCCTTTATACAAGCCATCTAACTATGTTAATTTGAAACAATCCCATTAAGCTGAGCAGTAGGCAAATAACTCATAGCTTCTCAACTTTCTGGAAATGTTGGCAGGACATTTAGTTCCTATTCTGCAAATCAATTAATACAAAAGGTAAATTCTGACTTTATGAAACAAGACTGCAAAAATCACCAAGTCAGTTCACCAAGATCAAACTTGGAAGTGAAATAGAAACAGAACCTTCAGACCTGACTCACTTAAAAATCCACACATAGCTTTATGCTGTCAGCTGAATCTTTTGAGGTCAACTCTGAATGAGGGGGTCATCTTTCTAATATCAGCTCCACAAGGTCCCTTTAAACAAGTTAACTGTGAAGTTATAACACTGGAGATAATTACTCAATGCTACAGATCACACAAAAGCTACCAAAAAATGCTCTTCATGTCACAAATAGAAAATGCTGACATGCAATAAACCACATACTTTAATGTTGGGAAAAAATGTTTTTGGAGAGGATGTTATAACCAGAATATGATTCCTGGACACACGACTTGAATAAAAAACCAAAGACTATATATGCTAGATCACAACATAATGCACAGACTAGGGAACCAAAAGTTTTGGGTTCTAGTTTCTCCTTTAATAATTTGATTGCAGCTTTGAATAAATCACCCAAGCTCATTATTACTAATTTCATTGCATCAAGTATGTGCTTATTTCATTTGGTGATCTCATTGGCTCACATGGGTTCAATCTCTACGCAGAGGGTTCCCAGGTCTATATATCTATCTATCCCCATCTCCGAGTACCCCCATCTTGCATCGCCAACTGCCTTTTGGACATCTTGGATTGGATGTTCTGTAGGTTCTGTCAAACTCAAGAAGCTCAAAACAGAACTTTATCTTTATTCCCAAACTTTCTCCTCTTCCTAACTTCCCTATTATTGCTGAAGGCACCTTTATTCTTTCAATCACAACTTAGTTTTACCTTCAACTCCTCACCCCTACTAATCCCACACATCTAATCTGTTGTCGAGTCTTACGATTACTTTTACGGCATTATTTTAATATGTCCCCTTTTCACTTCTGATATAGCTCCATTCTGGTGTAGGTCCCTCATCACCTCACCCCTGGACTACTGTAATAGCCTCCTAATTGGTTTCTCTGTCTCTTCCCTTTCCAATCTATTCTCCAGTCAGCTGCCAAAATGATTTTCCTAAGTGTAGGACTGACCATGTAATCTCCCTAACCCTATTATCTCCAGGATCATCTATAAAAGTCTCTGTTTGATATATATAAATCCTTCATATCCCAACCCCTTTCTATCTACCTGAAGATGTTTGTTCTGTCCACAAACTCCACAATCCAGGTACTTTTTGGCTTCCTTCAAAACTCAGCTCAAATATAGTGTTTTTCTTCTCCCTTTATTAACCACTCACTCCTTCCTCAAATAAGATCTGCCCCTACAAGTCTGGAAAGTACTCTGAATTTTGGAAATGAAGGAAAGTGTAAGACACAGCATAGGATAGTGGAAAGAAGATTACATTTAAAGTTGAAAGATGTTAATCATATTCTTGGTTCTTTGGCACTTAACCAGCCACGTGCCCTCGGACAAGTCTCCATTTCTCATCTCTATGTTGAAGAAGGCTGACGGCTAATGACGTCTGAGGCCCCTTCCAGCACCTTCTTTCAAGTTCTACCACATTGCCTCATTTTGGCCTGGAAGCAACTCTTCATTCTCAGTGAGTATGCCAAGAGTACCCAGACTCTCATAAGCCTTATCTAAGCTGGGAAGGCTTTAGGTACATGCCAGGTAATGTACTGTGTCTGTCTGAGGAACTACACAGTTAAGTACAAGGAGGCCATCACTCGAAGCATAATTTTTTTTCAGCTACAGAAACTCATGAAATTATCTATTATGACAAAAAAGGGCTATGATCTGTATCTATGGAGGAAGTGCCCACTCCCATGAAGTATTAAGAAAAAAATACTCAAACATTTATACCTACTTCTATTGTAGGATGTAAATAAAAATAATATTTAAAATTAATACCTTTTGATCACATTCCCTACAAGAACTTTATTAAATGGGTCAGGAAATAGCATCATAAGGCATGTCTTAATTAGAAGAGGTTTGACCTAGGGATTTGTAGAAATGGTTAAAATACATAATCTCCTTTCTAGTAAGCTTAAAATGGAAATGGAAACTGTAAAAGTTTCTAGCTTTTTTTTCTCCTAAGTATAACTGAAGAGTTGTCACCCTGGGCAAGTCATTTACTCTCAGAATCCCAGGCAATTCTCCAAAATTAAATTAGAGATAAATTGCTGATGGACAATGGTGGAAGAAATTTTCACTCTGAGAGCTTTTTATGCTGACAAAATCAGATTTGAACTGAAAAAAAAAATTCCATACTGAAAGCAGAAAACAAAATATGAAAACTCAAATCCCAGTTAACTTTGTGAACTCATAACATTATTCTATAAAATGAGGTGATCAAATGGAGCTCTTTAAGAAAACTTGTAATGGTGGCTAGTATATCACATAGACTATTTCCATAACAAGAGTATCTAGGATTCAGGATACATTTTTGTAACTCATGCCTGTGGTAGTTCAAAACATTATTGAGCTTATTTTTAAGTTCAAATTAGGCATGCTAAACCCATCTAATATTTTTTTAAATTGTAGGGTTTTAATAAAATTCAAGATGCATTTTTTTCACTCAAAGTTTTGCTTTCTTATGTAGAATAACAGCACCTAATTTTTAAAAAAATACTTATGTTTTGGAGCCATGCATGTTTGAAACACCAAAGTGCCATTTTGAAGAAATCTATGGGCAGCTAGGTGAAGCGGTGGATAGATCATTGGCCCTGGAGTCAGGAAGTCCTGAGTTCAAATCGGGCCTCAGACACTTACTAGCTGTGTGACCCTGGGCAAGTCACACCCCCATTGCCTCAAAAAAAAAAAGAACTCTAGAATCTGTCCCTATGTTCTCATCCTTTCAATTCCACTGGTCCTTGGCTCCTTTCTCCCTAACCCCTCTGTCTTCCATCTGTGTCCTCCTCCTTCCTTAGAAATCAAACTATACCTCCTTGTAATTATATGCTTACTCAAAGTCTAGAAAATGCTTTGAGCTTGCAAAAGAAAAGAATTGTTCTGGTTTTCTGCCTTCTCCCCTAGAGGTACACAAAGCAGTAACTGAACAGAGCAGGAAATTGCTCTAAGATACTTCTAATGACTTCAGGATCTGTCATTTAGAGGGGGTGCTAGTGGCTGAATTTTCTTGTTTACTATCTCATTGTTCCAGGAGCTCTCAAAGGATGAGTGTCAGATCCTAGTTATTGGGAGCTAAAGCAGGCTGTGGAAGATGTCTTTTTTTTTTTTGGCAATTGGGGTTAAGTGACTTGCCCAGGGTCAGTCACACAGCTAGAAAGTGTCAAGTGTCTGAATCCACATTTGAACTCGGGTCCTCCTGACTTCAGGGTTGGTGCTCTATCCACTGCGCCACCTAGCTGCCCTGAGGTGTTGTCTTTCACTAAATACCAATGCAGCACGTACCAGGACTCTGGACATGAATTGGGTGCAGACCTTAGAAGGAGAACAGGGGCCAATTCATAGAAACTTTCCCTTCTATAGGGAAGAAGGCTGACAGGTTAGCCTTGGGATGGGACAAGGAGAAGGGTAATGAATGGGTAATGGTTCCTAGTTCCCAGAACATGCCTCATTTCCTGGACATGGGCAAGAAACAGAAGAAGCTGTGCATGCTGAGATCTTCATGATTATTGGACCAGAAATCTTTGGAATGGCCTTCTGCTGTGTCTAGTTTCCCCTTCTTATTTCTCCAGATGATGCTGGTAGTGACCCTAGGGCAATGATTCTCAAAGAAAAAAATTTAAGACCATTCATGACCTACAAGGATTCTTCAGGGTTTCTCATGGGTCCATGGCTTAAAAATGATAACTGCATTTTAATATAAATGCTTTCCTTTGTAATCATATGTATTCTATTTTATACATTTAAAAATATTACTCTGAGAAGGGGTTTAAAGACTTAAGCAGCCTACCAAAAAAAAGTTAAAGTTCCTCAGGGTTGTTAATGGACTAGTCTAAAATTCAAAGAAATGGCCTATGCGGAGCTTGCTTTGGTTGAAGAAGTAGCCACTATCTCATTCCCAGCAATAAGTGCTTGGTTTGGTCATGTAAAAATAATAGCAAATAATGTCATTTATGAGTTACCACTTATTTTTTCTAATTGTGACAATATAATGATAGCTATGAATACCATTAGATAAGGATCATCTTAACATTATGGCAAATTTTATTGCTCATATGCCCAATGTATGTTCATATATGTTCAGCCTTTATAGTATTGTCTTTTGCTCACAACTTATAAAAAAATGAGGGAATGCTGATCACCTTATTTTGGTTATATTGGTTTAGTCTCAACATCAGTAAAATAGTATTCACCTTAACTATATGTCTATACATTTTCACAAACATATATACATACAGAAGAGAATTCACAACAAATGAATGCTGTCGAGGAGCATGAGAGCTTATATTTCGTGGTTGTCTGGTTGTTTCAGTCATGTTTGATTCTTTGTGACCCCATTTGGGGTTTTCTTGGCAAAGATACTGCAGTGGTTTGCCATTTTCTTCTTCAGCTCATTTTACAGATGAGGAAACTGATGTATACAGGGTTAAGTGACTTGCCTAGGGTCACACAGCTTGTAAGTGTCTGAGGCTGGATTTGAACTCATGAAGAAGAACCTTCCTGATTCAAGCCCTGTGTTCTATTCACTGTGACACCAGAGAGCTTATATACTTGTTCTCAAAGACCTGGATTCCATGGGTGGTTGATAGGTTGATTCAAAATTCAAGATGTGGCATGTGTTAAGCTTACTTTGGTTGATTACAGTTTTCTCCTGTGTCCTTTCATCCTCTCATCAAGAAAATGTTAAAAGTCAGGTAGAGTGAGAGAAAAAGGCTGTATCAAAGAGTTTCATTCCTAAAAAGAAAGAGTAGGTGGCACTATCTACTTCTAGGATTCCCCTGGTTATGATGTGGCTCCTTTTTCTCCAGCTTGCTATCTACTATGCAATCCTGCCTCCCAACTTCCACTGTGATGTTTAGAGAAGCTAATTTTGATGGTAAAGCATGAGTCAAGGCAAGTCAACAAACGTTAATTAAGCACTTTTGTGCCAGACACTGTGCTGAGTTCTGGGGATATAATATAAGAAAATACAAAGTAAAAATAAATACAAGCAAAAAGACAGTTTCAATCTGCAAGGAGCTTAAATTCTAATAGGAAAAGACAATACATACAAGGGGACCTGAAAAGTGAAGAGGCAGAAAGAAGATGACAAATTCTGGTGAATGAAGAATGGCTAGTCTGGGCCCTTCCTCAAAATGAAGGTTCCTGGAGGAATCCACCAATGGGAGAAAGAGGTTGAAAGAGTGAAGGAAGATGGCAGCTATAACATGATGACGAAGAAAGAAAGGATACATGAAAAATGTATCTTGGTTTGACAGTTTTCCATCCTGTCTCAACCATTCATTGTCCCACAAAAAGGGGATGGACATCTATTATCCCAGCTTGTTGGCTTTAGCCTGAAAAGCTTGAGAGCCACTATTTCCTCCAAAGAAGAATTGTGTAGCAGAGTAATGTGAAGGGAGCCAGTGGATGGGGGCCCAGATGGTGCAAATCTTTTTGTAATCCTTTTTTGAACTTATTAAAGTCATCTAAAGTGAAGGTCATTCAATTATTTACTGTCTATGTACTAGGCCATGCTACCTCATTTATATTTTTCTTTTAACTTTTGAAAATGCTTTCATGTATACAACTGTTTCAGTGACCCTCCCAACAACCCTGTTAGTTAGGAAGGGCAAGTAACATCTCCCTTTAGCATTAGGAAACCAAATTTGTTAGTATCCTTAAAAAAAAATGATGGCAACAGCTTCAGTTGAAATTTAGTTCAAAAGGAGGAAAAAAGCTTACAAAGAGTTTGGAAATATCTTGGAGGTTAAAAAAGAGAGAAAAAAAGGAAGTAAACTGCACTCTCCACGCCCTTATATATTGCATCTCAATGTAGCAATGCCGTTTCCTTCTCTGTAGGCTACCAACATGAGAAATAGCAGCTCTGTTCTCCTTTCTGTCTCAATTTTACTGCCGTGGTTATGGTACAAAGAAGGCAAAACATAATTTTTCTTCATTTCGTGGTTTTGTTGTCTTAAACATGAGTTGACTATTACTAACTTTTTACCCAACTCAATAGGTTTTATGGAGCTTTTTTGTTTGTTTGTTTTTTGACCCAAACCCACCATTTCACTAGTTTAGGAAACTCCCTGTATTGGTGCTGATCAGCACCCGCTGTGCAACTTATGATCTTAGAAAATTGTCTGGGGGGCACCGAGAGGTTAAATAATAATAATAATAATAATAATAATAATAATAATAATAATAATAATAATAATAATTCTCCTCCTCCTCCTTCTTCTTCTCCTTCTCTTTCTTCTTCTTCTCCTTCTTCTCCTTCTCTTCTTCTTTCTTTCTCTTCTTCTTTCTTTCTTTCTTCTTCTTTTCTTTCTCTTCTTCTTCTTTTCTTCTTTTTTCTTTTTTCTTCTTTCTTTCTCTCTTCTTTCTCTTCTTCTTCTCCTTCTTCTTTTCTTCTTTTTTCTTTTCTTCTTTTCTTCTTCTCCTCCTCCTCCTCCTCTTTCTTCTT